CCCCAAAACCCCAAAACCCCAAAACCCCTGATGCAATTATGTAAAATAATAGTAGAAATGAAAACTTATATTATACAAATAATACAAAAATTGAAATGGATATAGAGACGACAAGCTTAGCCTCGATGCTCATTACAAACTGCCTCATTCTATCTGGAGTGTTAGTCTATCTAGCTTTTTACTATAAATGGGACAATAAATCATATGATGACTTGGTGGAAAATCAAGCGTCAAGGTATAATAAAAACGGAGGTATCGAAGGAGAAATATATCTGGGTGAAGGTGCTTCTAATATAGAATCACTACTTGGGAAAGATGAAAGTGGCATGCAGTATCTAGCAAGTGGAGCCCAAGGAAGCAGAAGAGTGGATAGGAATCCATTAAGTTAGGATCTTGATTTGACCTCAATTCCTTCAAGATTTCCAGGAGGAGTGGGTGGCTCAATATATTCGCACAGACACAGTATCATTACGTATGATCGTGCGAATTCATTTTTGAACTTTGGAGTATCAGGAAGATATCAAGCATCACACTAGTCAGGTATATTAGCCTCTCATATATTTACTCAATGATCTTATTAACGATACTTTAGAATATAACTACAATGAGGACACTCAAGGAAAAGAAGATTTAGGAGAAGCTGAGTAGTTAGTGGTCGAAAGACCTAGAAGCTGGAAATAACTATTCAAAACATTATATTCTGTTGATGAATATGATCTCTTTAAGTTGTAAAATGCTGATGGCTATTTTTATCTATTGTTCCTTAAATATTCTACTGGCTTATTTGCTATCAGTAAGATATCAAATATTGGTTTAATGATTCCTAGTGTCATTTTTATCTATCCTCATTTTACTGCCTAGCTATACAGTTTTGCATGATTCAAAATTCAATTACATTTTGACAGACATTAAGTCACTTGACAAGCTTACTATATCAGATTCACTTTAGAACCCTTAAGTAGTAATGGTGGTAGTAATATTCACAGTCATCTTCACTATCCTTGCCTACTTTATGATCATTAAGTTTTCACAAAAAATGAGTACTTTTTAATTTGCCCCATAGAATGAATACCTTGATAATTTTGCAGCCATACATTCTATAATGATTAGAGGAGTAAATAAAAAGCTAGGATCAGATGTAGCAAATCAAATGATTAGGAAGGTATTTGAAGAGAGATTTGGCCCAAATAAGGTTGTTAGAGTATAGACAGTTAGAAACACAGACAATGTCCAACATTTATTTAGGAGAAGACAGATTTATCAAAGAAGATATAATCACTATAAAAACTAGAATAACTTGTAAAATTACAAGGACATGATTATCATCGGTTCAAGACTCAGATGCAATCGTAAAATAGTAGATGCTGAGGAATATTTTCTAAAGAAATTTGAACAAGTAGAGGTTGAATGGTAATTACTGAAATAAAAAGCATTAACAGCAAACACTGGAGTTTCATTCGTGTCCTTCAGGGATAAAGATTGCGTTTCAGAAACTATAGATGAAATTGACATAGTAAAAACTACTTTGATTGGCAAAGATCACTATGAATAACTCCATATTTAAAATTGGGAAGTTGAATAAGCCCACTCGGCTGGAGATATAATTTGGACTGAGATCAATAAGGGTAAAACTAGATCATGGCCAGTTAGGCTATTACTTTCTTTCTTACCCACCACTCTATCAGGAGTTACTGTATTTGGCTTAGTTTACATTGATTAGACTTTAAAGTATGATACTCTTTTATCTTTAACAGTCTTTTTCAAATACGGTATCTCACTTTTTCTTTGTCTCTTTAACTACTATATTCTGCCATAGATCATATTCAAAGTAGTTTAATTAGAAAGGAACGAGCTAAAATCAGCCAAAGAACAGTCATTCGTTACAAAGAATATCATACTAATGATTATGAACAGTTTGATATTCCCATTCATCGCAAGCTCTATCTTTACTTCAATCCTTGACCATGTTCATGAACTTGGGCCTGCTTCTTAATCACCAAAAATTCCGAAAAATGTTATCACTTAGACGGACTAAGATGTTACTAACAAAATGAGACTTAATGATCAAACAAATATTTAACTCCTATTTAGCAGCTAGCTTGATAATGAAATAAATGAATTTATGGCTAGATGTATCTCAAACAGTTAAGAATTTTTTTCAAGATATTTGCTTCAAGTTTTATTGATATTTATCTGCTGGTAATTATTTGTGAAACCTAAGAAAATCATAAAAGCCTTTCATTAAGTACTAGCTTCTGGCCAAAAATATAAATTCAAGGTAAGTCTAACCATCTTTGACATGTATATTTTAGCATTGGTTTTACGATATTGGATTCAGAAATTCAGTTGCAGTTTCTTTGTTTATTTTTACATTATTCTTCTCCATTACTGTGCCATTAATCTTGCCGTTTGCTACTGCAATCTTTTTCTTAATGGTAATAAATATATTAGATAATTAAACCTATAGTACTATGTTGAAAAGTATAACTTGATCTACATTTACCCAATAGATTTCGAGTCAAAGGGAATGTACAGAAAATCGCTAATATTTTACTCAATCATTGGTATCATCATATTTTAGCTAGAAATGTTTGTTATTTCTGGCTCTGTTTTGAGTAAACGATTTAACATCTACTTATTTGCCTTCCTCATTATTCAAGCTATGGTTGTATTTACTGTGTTTGAATTCATCAGGAAACCTTGGGAGGGCAAGGAACTAGAGATAGAGAAGGCTATTCAGTAGCAAGCCAACAATATCTTTGACACTATCAGCTACTATGACGATTTTGAACCAACGCTGAAAGACAACATAGATGGTAATAGTACAATAGATGTTAGATAGTAATAAGATAAATTGGCTTAGTAAGCTGGAAAGATCTAAGAAATCAACTACAGAAATGAGAAGATAAATGTGCTTAGTAGTGCTTATGACAATCCTTTGGAGATATTCCTATTTGAAAACTATGGTGAAAACAACTATGGTTATAATGTAGATGAGGAACTCTTGAATGTAGTAACTTCTCCTAAGGGTTCATAAGGTAATATCGGACAGAGAACATCAAGAGGCTATTCTATTCCTCAAAGGAGCACTTTATCCCAAGGATAAACAGATGGTAAAATGTTTAACTTCCCTGATGATGGAGGAAGCACTGCAAATTTAGAAGAAGGCGAATAAATGTTTGCAGATGGAAATAAAAAGATCATGAGGACTCCAAATCTTGGACGTTTAGCATCAGCTAATATAATGGGCTAGATTAATACAGATTAATGTAAGTTTCCCATTTCATAATTATATTATAGTTGACAGTGCTAGAAAACATAGTGCATTCAGAAGAGAATCAAATGTAATGAATGGTCGTAATAGTCATAATTTTAGTAAATCACCAACTAGAATTGATTCTCAAAAAAATTGACGAATAATATATATACATCTCAATACAGTACTTAATCATTTCAAATTTTCCTATTTTATCTTTGTGGGGTTTTGGGGTTTTGGGG